AAGTTTGTCCTCTTGTGAGAAAGTCAAACTTGGGACCTGGGTAGCCCAGCCATGCTCAGTGACAGAGAAGTTGGCATTTTGGGAAAAGTGTTAAGAAATCTGATGTCTTCACTGCAGAGTCACTTTCTAAGGAGGACAGGTTCAGGCTCCCAAGGACTTGAGGTAGGCCAGTTGCACTCATAATTTCTGGAGCCCCCCAGGCTCCATCTCCTTGTTTTTCATCTTCATGCAATTGGATATTTCCACTTCACACCAATTCCTTCACACTCAGGTTAGTACATGTTTCTGCAGAGAGATTTTGGGGAGCCAGGAGATGCTCTCCCCAAGAAAATGATTCAGTTACATCCACTCTCATTGAGTGAAGTCCTTTTAAAAGGAACTAAATTTTTTTTTTTTTTTTTTTTTTTTTTTTTGAGAAAAACTCACTCTGTCACCCAGGCTGGAGTGCAATGGCACAATCTTGCCTCACTGCAAGCTCCGCCTCCCGGGTTCAAGGGATTCTCCTACCTCAGCCTCCTGAGTAGCTGGGATTACAGGAGTACGCCATTACGCCTGGCTAATTTTTGAATTCTTGGTAGAGATGGGGTTTCATCATGTTGGCCAGGCTGGTCTTGAACTCCTGACCTTGTGATCCTCCCACTTAGGCCTCTCAAAGTGCAGGGATTACAGGTGTGAGCCACTGAGCCCAGCCTGGAGCCAAAACATTTTATTCTATATTTAGAAATAAAGCTTAAATATGTATATTCAGTCTGACTATGGTCTAAATGATTCTGGATTCTTTTTTTTTTTTTTTTTTTAATGGCGTCTTGCTCTGTTGCCCAGGCTAGAGTGCAGTGGTGCAATTTCAGCTTACCGCAACCACAACCTCCTGGGTTCAAGAGATTCTCCGGCTTCAGCCTTAAGAGTAGGTCGGATTACAGGCGCCCGCCACCACGCCTGGCTTATTTTAGTATTCTCAATAGAGATGGGATTTCACCACGTTGGCCAGGCTGGTCTCGAACGCTTGACCTTGTGATCTGCCTGCCTTGGCTTCCCAAAGTACTGGGATTACAGGAGTGAGCCACCACACCTGGCCAATTCTGGATTCTTAAGAAGAAAAGAGAGAGAGACAGGCAGAGAGGTGGGGTTGGGGGGTGGTCAAGGAGTTTCTATGTAGATGTGTGGAAGACGAGAGACAGGGAAGGAACTCAGGAAGGAGAGGCTGAGACCTGAAGACGAAGCACTGCTTTGCTGAAGCAGCATTCCTGCCCCTCACATGCCCTCAAACGCCCTCAGACTCAGACATACTTCCTCAGACATGACTGAGAACTCTTAACTGTATCTGTCCCAAATTCTTTAATGTCTGAGGCCACTGAGAGAAAGAAGAGAGGAAGAGTGCCCAGCTGGAGGGAGCTTAAAATGAAGGTCTCTGACTCTGCCGCTGTAGCTTCTTGCTCAGTTCTGCTCCTTGATCTGTCATAGGTCAGCATTAGCCAGTAAGTGGCCTAAGTATGCAAGGGAAGAGGACCCTGCAGGCCAGAACCGAGCTTTCTACAAAAGAGGAAGAGTTGGCTAGGAGCAGTGGCTCATGCCTGGAATCTCAGCACTTTGGGAGGCCGAGGCAGGTGGATTGCTTGAGGTCAGGAGTTCAAGACGAGCCTGGCCAACATGGCAAAACCCCGTTTCTACTAAAAATACAAAAAGTAGCCAGGCGTGGTAGCAGGCACCTGTAATCTCAGTTACTCAAGAGGCTGAGGCAGGAGAATTGCTTGAACCCAGGAGGCAGAGGTTGTAGTGAGCTGAGATGGGCAATAGCTGTCTTGAAAAAAAAAAAAAAAAAAAAAAAGGAATGAGTTGAGGGATGTCATCTTGGCTGTTATCCTACTTTGTCTTCATGGGCATCCAGGTTGCAGGGAATAGGTGGGAGGCATGGGACAGCATGGGCTTTGGATCTCTTTAGGCTAATTCTTCCATCCTTTTCCCTCACTTCCCTCCACTTTCAAACACCACTCCCCTCCCTTTGTCTGCCCCTACTTTTCCATCTCTTCCTGTTCTAATTTTCCTTTGCTTTCTCACTTTCTGGGCTTCAGCAGGAATCCCAGAATACCATCTATTTGTGTGTGTGTGTGTGTGTGTGTGTGTGTGTGTGTGTGTGTGTGTGTCTGTGTGTCTGTGTGCATATTGTACATATGTGCATATAGGGTGTGTGTGTGCTTGTACATGTGTATTTGGGGGACTGTGCCGAGCTTTTGGTGCCAGGCTAATGACAGGACATCCTTCAGATTATCTGAGCTTTTCTTGTAAAAACATCCTTACCCTGTACATACCCAATTCCTTATTCTTCTCAAGATCTTGTGGAAATGAACACAACCACCCAAATGAGAATAAGCAAAGGCTATTTATTCAGAGTTGGCCAAAGATGGCAGGCAACTACCATCACTTGCATTTGGCAGACACTCACAGCAGGCAGGAGAGTGAGAATCTTTACAATGGAAAACAGGGAAGGCTTCAGGGATGCTCTGGTTGCAGGCAGCAGCATGGGGAAGCTGTGGGTGGGCATCCTATGTGATGGATTAAGAATGTATATTGGCTTTTCTTTGATTGGTCCTAATTTAGGAAGTGGAAATAAATATTAGGGAACTTTTCAGTTATCAATCAACTTCATAAGAGAGACTTTCAAGCAAGGAAAAAAATAAAATAAAATAAAATAGGAATAGTCAAGTCCTAGCTGTCTGGGGGCAATTGCTACAGGAGTTGTCTGGCTTCCTGGATTGTTTGCTGTACATAGTAGGTTGGCTTCTCATACTTTTGGCTGGAGACTACAGGTCAGAGTTCCAGCTTTATACATGGTCTGGCCATTGTTCATTTGTGTGGTCAGTCTTTCAGTCCCCACTTTTGGTCATTCTCTGACTTCTGAGAAGTTTACTAACTCAGGGAAAGCTAGAATTTCATATATTCACCATTCCTAAATTGTTCGGTCATCTTCATAGTGCAGATCTTCTTGATCTTCTTTTGTATCATTATGGCAATCATCTGATGAGAGAGTGGCTGCATAGAAACATTTAAAACTCTGGATAAAATGGAACAGACTAGCATCATGACCACTATCACAAAAACAAGAACAACTGATAGTCTCTCTGAGATGCTTTGGAACCAGTAACTCCAATTGCTTAACCTAGGCCAAGAAGACGAATCCCATAGGCCATGAGGACCTTAGAGATAGCTTTTTTTTTTTTTTTGAAGCAATGTATGGCTTTTTTTTTTTTTTTTAAACCTTGCCTGTGTCCTTGACCTAAGTATCACAAGAAGCATTGGCAATGGTGTAGACACAATTGGAGTGGTCTTCCAATTGTGTGGAATTTTGAATCTCTTTTTTGGTTGTGAAACATGAACTCAAAGATTGGTTCCTTGGAGTCTCACTGCTGTATCTATTGTTAACAGATTCTGACATAGTCTCTTCCTTATAAATGAAGTTCAAAGTTCAGCAGGTTTTCTCTGATTTTTCTTCCAGTAGACAAATCCCCTAGGTGAGGATCATGGAGAGGTTGTTTAGGACGATTTTGTAGGAAGCAGGCCTTCACCTGTTGGTGATAGGACCGGATACAATAGATGAGTTCCTTGCAGTATTTTGTCATGTCTGCATGGAGTAGGACAGACTCTAGTATTAGAAGTGAAATCTCAAAATGCTTGGACCTTCCAGGTATCAATTCATAGGGTGATAACCCATGTGTCCCCAAGGGAGTGGCCTGTATATCCACAAAGGATAGTGGTTATAACCACTTTTGGGCAAGGGAGCTCAAGAATTTCTGAAATTTTTGCTTATTTTAATTTAAGGATGCCATGGGTCCTTTTAGCTTTTCCAGGAACTTGTGGTTGGTAGGGATGGTATAGTTTTTGAGTAAGAGTTCTTTTATAAAGGTTGCTTTAAAATGTGTGCCTCAGTCACTTGATATAAAAGGTGGGATGCCCCAGGTTGAAAACACAAACTCAAGCTGCTTGTTCATGGCTGTAAGGGCTTTAACTTTTTGGCAAGGAAATTCTTCAACTCATCCTGAAAACAGACATGCAATATCTAAAACATGGTCAAATCCCATGGAGGGTGAAAGCCAGTTAAATGTCTTGTGAAAAAAAATTTATGGAAGGCCATTGATTTGGACTAGGCTCCTTCACTAAGCCTAGCAGATTAAACCAATACGGTAGTTTAATGATACGTTGTAGCTGAGCTTTGGTTAACTGCAGGAGACTCTGTAACCAATGACGCTGCCTCTGCACCATGCTTCTTTTGTCTCCTATAGATGCTATCAGATTATGTCATTGGTTGGAGTTCTCTGACCTTGCTCTGGTTCCAAGGGCTGCCTGATTTTTGAACTGTTTTTGTTTGCTCTGTTTTGTTCTGTTCTTCTTTGCTCAAATAAACTCTGCTAAAATGTACACTTGTCTAAGGTTTTATTTCATGTACACTTGTCTAAGGTTTTATTTCATGTAACAGTCTGAAGTTGTCTAAAGAGGCTTTGGTTTCCAGCCATGTCCCAACTTTACAGTTTTTCCAGAGTTATATTTTTGACAGGTGACACATGACCCCAAAAGTAAGCTCAGTTATCTTTTCAAAGTTTTCCTACCAATGTTGAGTTAAGATAGTAACCAATTTGTCTCTGCCATGATGTTTCACGGAGAAATCTAGATAATGTAGGGGAGGAAATACCTTTCTTATCCGTCTTAAGTTTTAAGGTGGGGCTCTATAACAGAAGGCAGATTAAAAAGTGAAAGACATATACATTTATTTAATATAAATTTATCACGGTCCACAAGGAGGTAACAAGGACTTTGTCACAAGTTTGCCAGGTTTGGGCACCAGTGCTGTAGTGGCTTTCTCTGCTGCTCCTTGTGAATCAACAGACAGATGTGGTTCACATAGAAAGAATATAGCAAAAATTTACTCTTTCTCCAGCAGCTCTGGAAAGATGGTGGCCTGAGTGATTTACCACTCCTTCCTCACACTGTCCTTGATTTTATTTGAACAGAGCCCGAGATGCTCCTCCCACCCTTTTCCTCTCGGAAGCCAAACCCCTTTGTAATCTGTATAAGGTCCACACTTCAGCAGCTGAGTGACTGCAGAAGCTGACCTTCCATCACCAAGCTGGAGATCCAGGTAAGCAGCCCAAGAGGTGGTCTCAGGTGATGCTTCTGCTTCAGCTTCAGGGTTGGAGAGGTGGGAGCCAGGGCCAGTCCACAGCACTGAGAAATCTTGGATGGTGCTAGCATTGACAAAATGTGGCCCAGGCAACATCAGCTGGGGGCAGGTAGGTCAGGGTGGAATGTGCGGGCTGCAGGGCATCCATGAGACTGGAAAAGAAGGAGCCCCCAAGTTGGGGGCTCGCCAGCATTTCTTGTTGGAATACAATGGAATCCTTTATGATGCCGGTGTCAAGCACTGGTCTGAGTTCCCTTATGCTGTAAGACAACAAGTCTTTGTCACCCAAGGTCCTGGATGTTGGGGATACAATTTTGCTCATGATTTATTCAAACTGATGTTTCGATGAGCCATTTGAGCACAATGTATTTTGGATCAAAGAAACTCCAGTATTCAAAGATAGTAACTGGCAGGATTTTAGGTCACTTCATAGATCACCACCTAGAAGGGAGGAAGAACTTGCTTTGGAGAGTGGGAATAAAACACTAGTGGAGAAGGGTACACGTGAGTGTCTCATTACACGAAAAACCTCAGGAAGAGGGACAGACTCCTTTCTGGCTGACCTGAAACAGAAACTAAACCAGGGAAGCCATAGGTGGGAGCTGGAGTTCTTTTTTTAAGAGGCCTCTTTCCCTTCTTTCTCCTTTTCCCAGTTAGGTTTTTCCAGGAAAGTGAGGCCACCATGGCTCTGGAGAAGTCTCTCGCCCTGCTCCCTCTGCTAGTCCTGGTGCTGCTGGTGCTGGGCTGGGTCCAGCCTTCCCTGGGCAGGGAATCCCGAGCCAAGAAGTTCCAGCGGCAGCACATGGACTCAGATGGTTCCCCCAGCAGCAACCCCACCTACTGCAACGACATGATGAGGCGCCGGAATATGACACAGGGACGGTGCAAACCAGTGAACACCTTTGTGCACGAGCCCCTGGTAGATGTCCAGGATGTCTGCTTCCAGGAAAAGGTCACCTGCAAGAACGGGCAGGCCAACTGCTACAAGAGCAGCTCCAGCATGCACATCACCGACTGCCGCCTGACGAATGGCTCCAGGTACCCCAACTGTGCATACCGGACCAGCCAGAAGGAGAGACACATCATTGTGGCCTGTGAAGGGAACCCGTATGTGCCTGTCCACTTCGATGCTTCTGTGGAGGACTCCACCTAAGGTCAGAGCAGTGAGATACCCCACCTCCCTCAACTTCTTCATTTCCACAGCTGCCTCTCCCCTCTTCCCTGCTGTGAAAGAAGTAACTTCAGTTAGGGCTCCTATTCAACACACACATGCTTCTAGCTCCTGAGTCCCACCCCTGCGTGATTTGAGGGGTGAAGAGTGGGTTGTGAGGTGGGCCCCGTGTTAATTCCTCCACTCTTCCTTTTAATAAAACATAGTTGCAAACACCTGATTTGTGATGCGGTTCCATCAGGTACTGTTTCTGGCATAGCTTTTCAGCAAGGGATAAGAACTGTAAATCTGATTAGCTTTGGAGAACGGTGAATGGAGTAATTAAATGCCTTCCCTTCTGACTAGGCTTTTAGGGGCTTGAGAAAACTCCTTTCCCTGTAGATTCCTTGATGCCAAACATGAAACTGTTAAGTGTGGGCTTTTTTAGACAAAAGGGAGCTAAAGCCTGGGACACTGCCATGAAGGGTGAACTGACAGAGGGGTGAAGCTCAAATAAGATGATTCTCTGGCACAGAAGGAAGGTGAGTGCAACCTAAGAAAGATCCTGCTTAGCCTCAGGATGGGGAAGAGGAATCAATGAAATTATGATCCTAAATTTCTATTTTCTTTTTTTTTTTTGAGTGAGCTATTACTAAATCAGAAAAATGGGCACCTCTTAGTTGGAAAGTCAGAACTTTACATTGTAGAGCTGGAATTGACTTTGGAGAGCATGGAATTGAGGGTAGATTTCAGTTTGCATGCCAACTCTAATTGGAAGTGCCGATCGGGCGGCGTGGCTCACACATATAATCCTAGCACTTTAGGTGAGACGGGTGGATCACCTGAGGTCAGGAGTTTGAGACCAGCCTGGCCAGCATGGTGAAACACGGTTTATACTAAAAATACAAAAATTAGCAGGACGTGGTGGCAGACACCTGTAATTTCAATTACTAGGGAGGCTGAGGCAGGAAAATCACTTGAACCCGGGAGGCAGAGGTTGCAGTGAGCTGAGATGGTGCTGCTTCACTCCAGCCTGGGCAACAAGAGCAAAACTCTATCTAAAAAAAAAAAAAAAAGGAAGTGCCTACCCAAAATACTATAGAAAAAAATTCTGGTAAGTGATGTAGTTGAATAATAGCCTCTGTTGAAGGCATGAGAGGGGGAAGGGTGTATGTGTCACATATTTGCCATCCCTGACCAAATGTAACTCTTGCCTTTCAAGTGACTTGTGCATGGCCTGTTGCTAGTTAGTGGCATAGCTGAGACAAGACCCCAGGTTTCCTGACTTCTTAGTCATTGTTGTAACTCAGGAAGAAAGCTCCCCTCCTTCACTGAGTGCTGTGGAGCAGTAGCTCTCTCTTGGATCTTGCTAGTTGGCTCCCAGTGTACTTAGCCTGTGAATCCACTCCATTCTGGACAATCCTTCCTGATAGCCACTGAAAGACTACCTTTGGCATCTGTCAACACTTTATCATTACATTTGATCCCCTGTTTACAGTTGTATCTGGCTCTAGATAAGGTCACAGAACTAGAGAAAGGCCCTATTTTTGGCCAACATGTCTAGTTCTGTCCTTATCTTCGTATACGACATTCACAGTTGTTGGAAGAGGCTGCGATTTTCTAATGTAGAGTGAGTCCTCAGCCCTGGGGCCTCCGCATAAGGAAGAAAACCTGCAGGCGAGAAGGTCCATTCCCACACTTCTGTGGCAATGAGGATCTCACTCCTTACTAGAAGTGAGAATAGAGGACAAAAAAAAAGAGGAAACTTCAAGTTTCTAAATATGTCTCCCTTAATCAATTTTTTTTCTTAACTTTATCTCACCCTTGTTCTTAGCCCCAAATCTTCCCAGTTTTCCTCCCGCTAATCTTATGAGAACATTCAGTGAAGCTTTTACAAACACTCACTTGGAGTTTTGCTTCCTCCATATCTGTACATTCACCAGCTCGGGCTTCCGGCTCCCCTCGCCTTCCCTGCCATAGGACTCCTTGGGCCCCTCATCTGGGGCAGTAAAGCAGAAAGTGAAGATGAAGCATCCAGGTGTAGCCCTGCGTAGCCAGGGAAACTCTAGGGAGGCACAGTGCCCTGAATAGGAGGGCAGAGGGAGGAGAAACAACACTAGGTCCTTGAGAGGACCAGGCACAATCAAGAAGAGAAGCACCACAGCTACCTGGGGACACATAAGACATCTCTGACCTGTGGAGAGGCCATTGTTACCCCATAAATAAAGGAGTGCTTACCCTTTCTAGAAGATAAACTCCAGCAGGTGAATCTGTTAATCTGTTTTTGTTTTTGTTTTTTTTTTTGGAGATGGAGTTTTTGCTCTTGTTGCCCAGGCTGGAGTACGTGGCTCAATCTCAGCTCACCACAACCTCTGCCTCCCAGGTACAAGTGATTCTCTTGCCTCAGCCTCCTGAGTAGCTGGGATTACAGGCATGCACCACCACGCCTGGCTAATTTTGTATTTTTAGTAGAGACGGAGTTTCTCCATGTTGGTCAGGCTGGTCTTGAATGAACCCCTAACCTCAGGTGATCCACTTGCCTTGGCCTCCCAAAGTGCTAGGATTACAGGTGCCACTGCACCCAACCTGACCCCAATATTTTTTAAAATTTTATTTATTTTAAAATATTAAGTAAATGAAACACTTAATATTTATTTCTTTTGTATGCCACTAGTGCATTGTATTTACCTGCATTGTTTAATTTTTGAAAAGTAATTAATCTCATTAAAAATGAAGTGACGAGTGAGCAAGGGAAAAACTTGACAAAATCCATCAAGTATGAAGAGCTCCCGAAGGATCCCCATCCCCACGAGCTTCTGCTTCTCCTCCTTGTGAGGCTCTTTGGCTCTGCCATTGCCATCCCCGCGCCCGGGTTTTTGTGGGGTTTTTTTGCAATCTTGCCTCAAATGTGGACAAATGCCTTCTTTTGTGTATTAGCACTGTCTAGATAAGATGGCATTTTCAAAAATAACTTTACAAATTAAAAAGATGACTTGCGGAAGTATTTACAGTATCAAAAATAAATAAAATCAGTTTTAGATTGTGTTATTTCTTTTCAGATGGAATTAATTAAAATATTAGTTTTAACCAACATGACTAGGTCTGTCCTTGTCTTTCTAGTACTACATTTAGTAGTATACCTAACTCACTAAGTAAAGCTGTAAAAGTGGTTTTAATATTTTTACTGGTCCCATGTCCTCCAGTCTTAAAATAAACTTTCCTGTATTCCTCAAGAGTACATTGTTATTCAAATTCTGTTTCCACACTGTGTGGTTAAAAAAAAAGTATTGTCTGGGCATGGTGGCTCATGCCTGTAATTTCAGCACTTTGGGAAGGCCAAGGCAGGCAGATTACGAGGTCAAGAGATCGAGACCATCCTGGCAAACATAGGGAAACCCCGTCTCTACCAAAATATAAAAATTAGCTGGGCGTGGTGGCGCACACCTGTAGTCCCAGCTACTCGGGATGCTGAGGCAAGAGAATTGCTTGAACCCAGGAGGTGGAGGTTGCAGTGAGCCGAGATCATACCACTCCACTCCAGCATGGTGACAGAGTGAAACTCTGACTCAAAAAAAAAAAAAAAGAAAGAAAAGAAAAGTATTGAATTGTCTATCTAGCCCAGGCGTCCCCAAACTGCGGCCCATGGGCCGCATGCGACCCCCTGAGGCCATTTATCTGGCCCCCTGCCGCACTTCAGGAAGGGGCACCTCTTTTACTGGTGGTCAGTGAGAGGAACACAGTATGTGGCGGCCCTCCAGTGGTCTGAGGGACAGTGAACTGGCTCTCTGTGTAAAAAGTTTGG